GGGTCGCAAGATCAAGGGTCACAATAAGGGTTTAAATAAGGGCCACCAGACTCAGATTAAGGGTCACGAGGGGTAAAGTGAGGGTAATAAGGGCCAGATTGAAGGTCACAAGGGTCAGAATAAGAATCATGAGGGTCACACAAGTTTTAACCATATGAAATAAATAATGAATTTATTTTAAAAAATTGTCACGTGTTAATGAATTTGTTAACAAGTAATGAATTAAAAATTTCGATTTCACTGCAGTTCAATATTTTCATCTGCTTAATCGCCGATTTTATTCACAATGACATTGAAAGGAAACATTCTCGTCGGCTCATTACCTTTTCTGAATTGTCCCCAATTTGAAAAAAAAAAACCAGAATTACGATATTAATTCGTATCGTTTCCACCGGCTAATTCAGGGCCTCCTGAAGCGTGGGTTGACTCCCCGGATATTTTCGTCCGTTAAATAACTTTAATAATCATATTTCCGGGCTCCCCAAGGCTTTGTTATCTTCGAACAACTCTCAATTCCGGTATAATTCCAATATCCATGTCGTATTGTTGTACAGGCCGACCCCAACTACACATACCCATTCGTTTTTTTCGTGACTTTTGGACTGAGGGATTTCATCAATAGTTCACGAGGGCTTCATCGAATCAATTCCCAATGCTCAGCTATTTCGACTGCGATATTTTTCCATTGTATCGTCGATCCATTCAACTCCCATCAATCTTCTTTCTAGTTTCACTTCAATGAATTTTCGATGAAGTAAAGTTATCGAACTGTGAAGAATTGCTTTCATCCTCGTGGAAATTGATATGTGATGATGAGTGGGGAAATAGAGAAATATATTTGATGTTTCTCAGAATGAACAAAAATTTCAAGGAAAAATAAAGAAAAATTCATGTCGGAGGCGAAATACTGGCATCAAGGACACGTTTTCAAAACAAAGAAGTTAGTTCTGAAAATTCTACACTCAAGAACATGTTTGTAAACATTGAGAGAATAAATAGCCACATGAACATGAAGTATTTCGACTGAAAAAATGTTTGTAAACATTCAGTGTGAAAACTCGTGTCTTCGAGACGTCTTAATATCCGTCTCATGTGTCTTACATGTCTTAAATAATCAATTAATTGTATCTTAAATTCTCATAATCACTGTTTATTAAAAATAAAAGGAGAAATGATGTTGCATTTGGACTACTCGTCAGCCCCTCAGACGTCGGAAAATCTTTAGTCGCGAGGTCAACATATTTTCTCTCCCCCCCTCCGCTCACAACATTTTTTTTCTTTCAATTTTCCTCCTCAAGATCCGGTGAACCATGCAATGCCCCCTCCGGGCATGCCACTTAAACAGCCACTCTAATTCCCAACAACTACGTACATACCACATATAACGAGAGAGAGAGAGAGACTGCAGGGACTAGGGCTCTTCCTTCATCCCTATCTCAGGGTAAAAATGAGAAGGAACTTTAGAAGCCGACTTCCGGTGGTGTGGAAAATTACGAGCTTTTTGCATTCACGATGGCTCACCTCCCAGAGCCCTCCCTCCTCCCCGACAATTTCCCTCGCCTCCCGTATTCCTTACGTCCGACACTTGTTTTCTTCACTTTTTTTTTTGTTCAGCTCAACTTGCTGTTACTCCCTGCCATTTTCATGGAGGCACTATCATTTTTCTGCACCGCAGGGTGCTGTAAGCCAAAGTAGGTGTGCACAGGTGCAACCATGACGATGCCACGAGAGTTTCCAACTTGGTAATAAATAATAGCAGGTGGGAGTGTGAAATACTGGCGGGGGAGGGAGAGAGGGAGGGAAAAGACCTTCGTATCCAGGCTTCGAAGCTGGATCTTTTCGTTTCGCTTCACAATCGATACAAGAATAATTCAGTTGGTTTTTTTATTCTCGTTTGAGTTGAGACGACAATGGGAGTTGTTAACGAACGTTGTTTATTCCGCAATGTATTCTACTATTTCATGGTTCAACTATTTGTCTCAATGACAAACAGCAACCCCATGAAGCTGTTGCAGGTATTCATTCTTCTGTTAACATCGATCGAAATGATCAACCAATCAATGGGGAGACGAAGAGAGAGTTAACAATCGTAACAATCATCTGTTGTAGACTAACTTTATGATAGAGGACGCGGGGCGATCTTCGTATCCAGGTTTCAGCGCTATCTTTCCTTTTCACTTCGGGATTAACAGAAAATTATTCAGCCACCCTTATACTCTCGTTTCAATAGAGAATCTCCTACTTTGATCAACAACGCGCCCCAAATAGCAAATGGTGTATCTGTACATCAATGTAACCAAACTGTCCTCGACAGCTCAACTTATCAACAGAGAAATCATCTCTTCTGTCAAGTTGATTGTCCATCGGAATCCAAGTCGTCTAGGTGATATTTCTTCTCACAAGTTCTTAGACTATTTTTCTCTGTCCACAGATTCTATAAACTCATTAAAACAGGAGGTTTTAATATGGAAAATGATTAAGATTTTGTGGTGAAGTTGTTGTTGGATTGATAATTAAAAAAGACCTGTTCAGAATTTCTAACCGAACGAAGTGAGATTAGAATCAAGCTGAAAACCACTTTTCCGCACTCGTATCGAAATATCCTATTGTGGATCTAGTAATGTAATCTACTATTTCATGGTTCAACAATCTCGTTCTCAGTCTCAATGACAAACAGCGACCCCTTGAAGCTGTTGCAAGTATTCATTCTTCTGTTAACATCGATCGAAATGATCGACCAATGGGGAGACGAATAAAGAGTTAACAATCAAAACAATCATCTGTTGTAGACCAACTTTATGACAGAGGACGCGGGGCGATCTTCGTATCCAGGTTTCAGCGCTCTGTCTTTCCTTTTCACTTCGCGATTAACAGAAAATGATTCAGCCACCCGTATACTCTCGTTTCAATAGAGAATCTCCTACTTTGATCAACAACGCACCCCAAATAGCACATGGTGTATCTGAACATCAATGTAACCAAACAGTCCTCCACAGCTCAACTTATCAACAGAGAAATCATCTCTTCTGTCAAGTTGATTGTCCACCTGAATCCAAATCGTCTACGTGATATTTTCACCCACAATTTCTCAGACTATTTTCCCCTACCCAGATATTCTATCAACACATTTCCTCAATTCCCAACAATTGTTGCAAGTATTCATTCTCCTGTTAACATAAATTGGCCAACGGGAAGACGAGTAGAAAGTTAACAATCAGAACATCCATCAGCAAAAAAAAATCATCCACTCATTAGAATGCGCAAATTCAGATAATATCGAGAAGCGATTCACCTCGGCGAACATCCACCTACATGGGTAGGTGGTACCACATAACAGATGCATGAAAGGGTCATTCAGTCATTAGAAAATCCATTGAATTGCTAATGCCCGACTTCAACGATATGCGGATATGTCACGCCCCACCGATCCAGTTATTTTTCATCGCTTTGTAGCAAATCGACGCATTAACATGTGAAAAGAAAACACCAAGAGCCCAGCCAAGGCCGATTGTCCCCGGCCTCGTGACAGCGATCATCATCATTTGGCTCCAATATCACCGATATAACGACCCTCATCGTTCACCATTGGAGATGGTTGCGATCACAAATGCTCCGGGTCTTTTTTGCGAAGCTCAAACGAATGAAAAAAAAAAAAATTGGCGGATTTCTCTCTTTATTTCTCCGACTCTCTCTCTCTCTCTCTCTGTTTGTTGAGTTTTAATTGCGCCCATTGTATAATTGTCCGAGCGAAAAACCCATGTACATATCGATTTTTTATCGATTGGGTTTCCCCAGGGAACTTGCCATTATTCCCGCAGTCTCTCGCACTGAATATTTCCTGCATTTGAGTGCCACACGATGTAACATGAGAGAGAGAATTCTGGGTTTCATTTCGAGAGTAGCAGCTCCACAAATAGCAACAAAAATTATCTACTGTAATTAATGAGCAATTTTGATAAATCGTTCATTAGACCGAATGGACTGTTTATTCGAGCCTAATGGGAAATTCATTTAGATTTAATGAATTATTGATTTTGGGTTCTTGGAAGGTTTTTATTGAGATGGATGTGGGTTTCAGATGGAGAATTTAGCTTGATTCAAATGGGGGTGTTGAAAAAATTCATTCGTTGGAAACTCGTTGAAAATTTTCAAGTTTTCGTATTAAAAATGTTGTGCGATTTCATTGCGATTTTTGAATGATATTCTCGGAAATAATTTTCTCGTGTTCGAAGACATATCGTCGCTAATGGCATTAATTCCCCGCATTAATTTCATATAATTAAAAGAGTTTCATTAAATTAAATATGAGTTTCAAACGAAGAATTTCACTCAATTCAAATTCTGTTGCAAAATTTCCAATTACGACCGAAAAAAATTGAAGGAAGTTGTGCGAATTGAAATGAAAATGATTGAAAATGACTAAATTTTCATTTCTCCAATAATTTTCGCATCGCGAATATTTTGAAATTCCCCTGATCTCAAAATTCCTTTCCGATTTCCACTGAAATTAAATCCCTGCCCCAATTCCGCAAGTCCCCAATACTCAAAAAAAAATTTCCTCATGTTCAAGGACATATCCTCAGTAATAGAATAAATTCGCCCGTACAAATACATCAATTCCTTCATCGATCCATTCTTCTGCGTTACGCAATTCACCTTCCTCATTGCCTCTGAGCCGTTTCGCTTTCATTTTCTACTTATTCTCTCGTCTCCCTGTCCGCCCGACAGCCGCGAAAACAAGTAGAATCGCCCCGCTGATCAGACCAGATGTTTCGAGTGCAAACTCCCTCGGAAAAACAAGGAATTTTAAATTTTCTGATTTTCTTCCTGAAAATGAAAAAGTCACTCGATCTCGCACGTGACATTTTCATTTCAATGAAAAACAAGTCGAGTTTCGCGTGTTCTTCAGCTTCTCGAGAGGTCAATTCGAGGAATTACTCTGAATACCGCGACTGCAGAGAGATTAAAGGAAAAAAAAATATTAATTTCAATCGACATACCGTAATCCGCAGGAAATAAACCGGTTCAGCCTTCAGTTCTCCATAAACTCTTTCCCCTTGGCAAGAGTACGCGAAAAAACACGAGAGCAAGTCCTATTCAAGAAATCCCCCTCCCCCCCACAAAATACCACAACAAATAAAGCTCCACTAATTATAGCCCCCACAAGTAGTTTGTGGTGCACGCGAGACAGTTTATTTAGTACCGATCAACAGAGAAGACACGCTTCTCACCGGTATCACCGAGACGACTGGCCGTTTTGACAGACGGAACCTGACCGCGCATTTCGTTGCTCCCACCACTGCGCACACACACAACTTGGTGTTTTTATCTTGTGCGCGCGCCATTCAATGGCAGAAGGAGCAGCTGAGACTGCCACAACTGCGCGGGATGAGGCCACTGTGTTTACCAGAATCTACCTTGGATACCTCTGTGGAGTTGTGAGTGCGGGGAGGGCCGTCATTTGGCGTGAATTTTGACCCCTGATTTAATGTGAGTCACCTCGTGGGGCTGGTGAATAGCGCGAGTTGCTATGGGTAATGACCCATTTCTCGAATACCGGCACGTGGGGTCGAGCTTCCGGTTGGGAGCGTTTTATTCTTGAGGCGAAGCATGAATAATTTTTTTTTTGTGTGAAAAAAAAAATTATTTAAAGGGTTTATTACGGCAGAGACTGGTTGAGGGTCAAATTTCATTGAGGGCTAAGTGGGAGAGACGAGGGGAGCGATCATTTCGCAAGTCTCCCGTTTGACCCTCTTCACCCCTCCCCTTGTCACTCCCATTTGATCCTTTTGACCCCTGTCCTTGTCTCTCCCATTTCACCATCTTGACCCGTCTCCCTGTCACTCCCATTTGACCCTTGAGAAAATTTTTTTTCATCTCTATTACTCAACAAAATAATCGAGGGTCAAACGGTCGTGAGGGCTAAATGGGAGAGACAAGTGGAGGGTCAAATTTCCTTAAGGGTTAAACAGGAGAGACGAAGCGAGTAATCAGGGGGGTCAAATGGGAGAGACGTGTGGAGTGATAATTTCGCTCGTCTCTCCCGATTGGCTCTCTAGACCCTGTCGCTCCCATTTGACCCCTTGATTTCATTTTTCAAATAGAAAACTTTCAAAAAATCGGATGAAAATTCCTGAAGTCTATTTTCCGAGAGAGATTCATAATAAAATAATGAATCACTCTACTCGTCCCTCCCACTTGACCCCTGTCGCTCCCATGTGACCCTCAAGAACTTCAAATTTTTCGTCAAATTAATCGCAAAAATTTCGCAGGAAAAAACGTTATTTCCTCTCCGCTTTTTCGATTTCTCACTTTCAGCTTCGTTAATAGGATTGTCAGGTTTATCTAGTCTCCGAAAAAAGAGAGGAGGCGTTACCCGCAGTGGTATACTCAGTGGAGGAGCCGTGCAAAAACTGATAAGGAAAATATATTCCCACTCGTGCTGGTGAACCTCACCTCTCGCTTCCTCTTTTACCGTTCATCTAGCACTCTCTGGCGCCATTGGGCTCACAGACATACAAGTACAGGCTGTATGGGTCTCCTTTTGTGTACATGCTGACTCGGTACCTTGGAGACTGGCCAATTTGAACTCAGCTGTATTTGAAAATAAGGGGATGACTATCGGTTTCCATGTAAACACACGGATATTCGGATTTACCAATCGGTGATTTTTTTAGAATATCACAGAAGGCGACAATTGTTCCAAGAAATTTTGTTGAATTATGGAAATGGAATGAAATTGTCTTCCTGAAAAATTGATGAATAAGCCCGTGTTTTTGGGCTCATGGGATCCTTAATATGACCCTTGCGACCTTCATTTGGATCCTTAATCGGAACCTCATTATGACCCTTGTGACTTATTTAGACCCTTATTATGACCCTTGCAAACCTTATTTGGGGCCTTGTGACCTTGAATCATGTGACCCTCAATCCTACCTCTGTGACCCTCGTTTGGATCGTTAATCTGAACCTCATTATAACCCTTTTTATCCTTATTTTGACCCTGGTGACCCTTAGTTTCTGGCCCTTGCTTTTTGACCCACATGTCCCTTATTTGGACCCTTACTTTGACCCTTGTGACTTATTTAGGCCCTTATTCTGGCCCTTGTGACCCTTATTTGGGCCCTTAATCTGACCCTTGTAAACTTCAATCATGTGACCCTTAACCTGACCCTTGTGACCCTTAATTTCGGAGTCTTAATTTTGAGGACCAAATTTTCATCGCCAGAAGTCGATTTAGATTTTTATAATAAAAAAAAGAGAATTAAAAACGGAGAATATTTTCCAGCCCTTCCTCTCACTAACATCGATCGAATGGTTTTCAAACCGAGAATTTGGCTCGTAAATACAGAAGAATAGGCCTGATTCAGGTATGAAGTCATTACAATACGAAATGAGGAATATTTTCATCTCTATTCATTCCCACGGAATTTTCAATATTTTTGGATGTATATTTCCAGACTTCTTCATATTTAATCTCAATTCCTTATCGAATGCAAAGCCATCCTGAGTTGGTTATCTCGGCTGACGTCAGAATATCTTGATGTTTAACATGAAATATCCCGTTACGAAACTGAATTGAGAGACGGGGAAATTGGAAATCCGCGAGAGGAATAGATTGACAACCCTGGGATGACGGCCTTTGAGAGGTTTTCTGCTAATCTGATATTCGATACAACGTATTTCTGGGTTGTGCTGACGCTTTACGAATCGATGACAAAACCCGTTTAATTTTCAACGAATTAAACTTTACATTTAATTTTTTTGGTTACTCAATAACATTTTTTTCTAATTTCTATTCATCAATTTTTTTTTAATTTGGAATTACTAAAGTTACATTAATTTCAATAAAAATGTTTGCGTTATGTGAAATTAATGAATACTTCATTCATTTTTTCATCGATTCTAGATTAGAATCAACTGAAGGATTTATTTAAAGTAGCTGTAGCCTTACGGTAAATTCAAAGATTATTGAAAACTGCAAGAAAACTCGATTAGATTCGGAATTCTAATTTTTTTCTCAATTTAATTATCGTTTTGGTTTTTCAAAGAAGAAATGTTTGAAAATCAGGATTTAACCCAGTGTCTTATGTGAAAATCAACATTTCCATTCTAATCGAAGATTAAAATCTTATTTTTTTTCATTAGACGTGAAAACAAGAATTTTTTTGACACATAAAAAATAATCCACTTTTTTGCAAACAAGTTTTTTTATTTATTTATAAGAGGGAGATGTTTGAAAAAATATCAGTATGTTGCAAAATTTAATTTAGATAATACTGACTGGGTATGAATTTTTTTAAATTTTTTCCATGCAATTTAGTTGAAAAATTAAAAAATTGAACATATCCTAAAAGTACAGGGTAGCCCAGCCAAAGAGTAGAGCTACTTTAATTCGAATAAAGAAACACAGCAGTTTGATAAATTCGTTTTAGTTATTTTAGCCGAAGATTTTTTAATATTATTTCCGTTAATGTAAAAAATATGCGAGAGAATAATTTCTGAGGAATGCTCGACTGGTGGTTTCGCCAGACTGAGCACATAGCCTTTTGAGGGATAGTTTCTGGTGGCTGGTGCTAAATCAAAATGTGAAGGGGGAACACGCATACACGGAGGGCATATCGCTTCTCGGGTATTCATTCGACCCCTCGAGACGCTCGTTACACGGCGCTTGGCTAGTGGGGCATGCGGAAAATGCGCAAGAATGGAGAAGGAGAAACTGCCACCATTGGGTGGCTGGTGGAGCTGTTGGAGAGAGACGAGGCGGTGAGCTGCCACACCTGAAGCAGCCCTTCCACCCTGGAGACGAGGTGCAAATGTATTTTCGAGTATTTATGACGCCAGACACCGGATATTGATGTTTTTTTCTATCGAAGCTCTCGTATCTTTTATATCTGGAGAGTCATTAATTCAGAGTGATGGGGAGATAGTTGTGAACATGGAAATGATTTATAGAGAAATTGTGGGAATAAGTAGCACCTGGATGATTTGGATTCCGATGGACAATCAACTTGACAGAAGAGATGATTTCTCTGTTGATAAGTTGAACTGTCGAGGACTGTTTGGTTACATTGATGTTCAGATACACCATGTGCTATTTGGGGTGCGTTGTTGATCAAAGCAGGAGATTCTCTATTGAAACGAGAGTATAAGGGTGGCTGAATAATTTTCTGTTAATCCCGAAGTGAAAAGGAAAGATAGAGCACTGAAACCTGGATACGAAGATCGCCCCGCGTCCTCTATCATAAAGTTGGTCTACAACAGATGATTGTTTTGATTGTTAACTCTTTATTCGTCTCCCCATTGGTCGATCATTTCGATCGATGTTAACAGAAGAATGAATACTTGCAACAGCTTCAAGGGGTCGCTGTTTGTCATTGAGACTGAGAAAGAGATTGTTGAACCATGAAATAGTAGATTACATTACTAGGTCCAAAATAGGATATTTCGATACGAGTGGGGAAAAGTGGTTTTCAGCTTGATTCTAATCTCAGTTCGTTCGGTTAGAAATTCTGAACAGGTCTTTTTTAATTATCAATCCAACAACAACTTCACCACAAAATCTTAATCATTTTCCACTATTAAAATCTCCTGTTTTAATGAGTTTATAGAATCTGTGGACAGAGGAAAATAGTCTAAGAACTTGTGGGAAGAAATATCACCTAGACGACTTGGATTCCGATGGACAATCAACTTGACAGAAGAGATGATTTCTCTGTTGATAAGTTGAGCTGTCGAGGACTGTTTGGTTACATTGATGTTCAGATGCACCATGTGCTATTTGGGGTGCGTTGTTGATCAAAGCAGGAGATTCTCTATTGAAACGAGAGTATAAGGGTGGCTGAATAATTTTCTGTTAATCCCGAAGTGAAAAGGAAAGATCACTGAAACCTGGATACGAAGATCGCCCCGCGTCCTCTGTCATAAAGTTGGTCTACAACAGATGATTGTTTTGATTGTTAACTCTTTATTCGTCTCCCCATTGATCATTTCGATCGATGCTAACAGAAGAATAAATACTTGCAACAGCTTCATGCAAAACAGTCCCCCATTCCCTGATCATCACCATCCATTCTCTATGGTAATTAATGGAGGCGCGTACAGAGATAATAACGCATCGGGGAATTCTCCCTGGGCGTTGTCACCCATCCTCACAGCAGCGATCCATAATCCTAGGTGATTCTCGCAACCTCTTCGATTCCACCCACTCCCAGCTAGAATGACCGAT